GGGGAAGTACCACTTACACACTTGTAGTTTGCAGATGACACAATCCTGTTTTGTGAAGGTGGGGATCTAAATTGGATCAGAAATTTAAAATTGACAATACAACTCTTTGAGCAGATGTCTAATCTTAAAGTGAACTTCGATAAGAGTTGCTTAGTGGGAGTGAATTTGGAGGAGAGGGAAGTAAGTGAATATGCAGGTGTGTTAGGGTGTGCAATCTCGGATTGTCCTATCATTTACTTGGGCCTCCCCCTAGGAGATAACCCCAGGAATGAAAGCTTTTGGAACCCAATAGTAGAGAGATTTGAGAAAAGGCTTGCTTCTTGGAGGAATAATTATCTTTCTTTAGGGGGGAGAATCACCTTGATTAGGTCTACCCTAACTAATCTTCCTGTTTACTTCACATCAATGTTTAAAATTCCCACAAAGGTCTCTAATAAGGTGGAAAATTTAATGAGGGACTTTTTATGGGAACCAGGGGTGGAGAAGAAAGACCATTGGGTGACTTGGGAAGTGGTAACTAGGAGCAAGAAGCTACGGGGCTTGGGATTGAGTATATTAGGAAAATAAACATGGCGTTGTTGGGGAAATGGTTGTGGAGGTTTCCATTGGAAAGGGACAAATTGTGGACAAAGATTGTGGCTAGCATACATGGGCTGGACAAGAATGACTAGGATCCAAGAATTTTGGCAAGAGTTACTGCCGCTTCCCCGTGGAAAGCCATTCATGATCTGCTTCCAGTTTTCTCCCCTTTGATCAGGTACGATATGAACTCCGGTAATCGAATAAAATTTTGGGAGCAAATTTGGGTTGGGGACTTACCCCTGAGAAACCAATTTCCCTCTTTGTTTGCTTTGTCAGGTTTGAAAAATGAACACACATCCACTTTCTTAGTTCCTTCTGATTCTTCTTCTGGTTTTGGGTGGAATCTAGGCCTGAGAAGGGCAATTAAGGATACAGATTTGGGTTGTATTTCATCTCTGCCAGAGTCTAGACCCCTTCCTCCTCCGGCTCCTTTTCTTGTGCTTCGTTTTTTGAGACCTTAGTTCAACCTACCATTCCTCTTGGGTTGTCCTTTCCTGTTAAAGAGATTTGGAGCAAACCCATTCCTCCTCGGGTTGGTAGTTTTTGTTGGGAAATTTTCCTTGAAAGAATTAACACAAATGACTTGCTTCAAAGAAAGAGGCCCAATTGTTGTTTACTTCCCAATAGGTGTAATATTTGCAAAGTTGATGGGGAAACAAGTTACCACATTATGGTTACTTGCCAGTTACTAAGACTGTTCGGCATGGGTGTTCTCCCTTTTTGGGTGTACTTGGAATCCCCCCGTGAGTGTGCAATGCTTGTTCTCTCCCTCGTTGTTTAGATGGCCTAAGAAAAGGGGGTAGGTTATGTGGAGAAGCATTAGGAATGCAGTGTGCTGGTCAATATGGGAAGAGAGAAACTCACGACTATTTTCAGACAAGGAAAGAACCACAAAAAACCTAATAGAGTTGATACACTAAAGGGTAGCTCGCTGGCTGAAATCTATGGAGATATTCTCTGAATTTTCTATGGTTGACTTGTTGAGAAGGTGGAAAGAGGTAGCTTCTGCTGCTCTTTGTAAGAGGACCTATAGACCCTCTTGGACCCCCCCTCCCATTGAATTCATAAAACTGAATTTTGACGGAAGTAGCTTAAGGAATCCAGGGCCTTCTGGGATTGGGGTGTGTTTAGGAATGAGGAGGGGTTTATTATTGCCATTTTCTCTGAACCAATTGGAGAGGGTGGCTCTCTTAGGGTCGAGATTCTAGCAGTTCTTGAAGGAATCCAAAGAACAAGAGAATTAAGCATCATAGCTTAGTTATTGAGGGGGACTCAGAGGTGGTGATTAGGTGGCTGAAAGGAGACAACAGTGGTTTGTGGAGCTACAGCAATGAAAAGAAAAAATTTAAACGGCTGAGTAAGGATATAGAGGTGAAGTACAATTGGGTGAAGAGAAGTGCTAATTCTATGGCTGATGGGTTAGCTAAGCAAGGGGTGGCTAAGGAATCTTTGTTTTGGGCTAATTTTTTGTTTTTTTCTTTGTCCTTTGTTGTTGGGGAGTTAAGATAGTTTACCTCCCCTTTTCTGTAATTAAAGTTTCACAAATATTATTAATTAATAAAGCTTTCTGTTATTGATAAAAAAAAATGTCCCAAAGAGCACAGGGAAGCGAAAGGCTTTGGAGATGGTTGCGGACAAGATTGAGGAAGTGGCTACGAATATTGGACAACATTCTTGAAGCCCAAGTAGAGCTCAGCTCAATCTTTCACCTTGCTTGAAGCCCATAATGCTAGATCCAACCTACTAAAAAACTTAATAACAAGACCATGTCAGGTTGTGTTAAATTTATCCAACCCAATTCTCATCATTGCAACAAATTGATATTTCTACAAATTATTAAGTGGACGAAACATGGAGGGTGCAAGAAAAATTTAGTTCAGCTCTAATGATTTTCCCACAAAACAAACATGGGAAAAATAATTTTCCCACTATTTTCCCTTGCATAACCAAACGATGGAAGTGAAAATTTCACACTTTCTCACCCCAGCCCATCCCTTCCAGCAAACCAAACGAAGACTAAAGTTTCACATATGTTTATAAAAATTCCAATTATAGTTGCCAAAAGTCATATTGAGCTGCACTCCTTTATCAATAACATAACTATATATTAAAAACAGAGAACTGAATATAGAAGTTGCATGCAAAATACAAATCTCCCCACAAAACCCATCTCACCCACCCATTGGACCTCGGCCAAAAGCAAGCCAACAAAAAAAGATCCCCCAACCAGGGGCAGAGCCTGAATTTTTTTAACCTATATATTTAAACAAAGGATTCCACATATCTTTTGTAAAGTACACCCTCTGCCCCCAATTCCTACACACACAAACATACAAATCAATTGGACCTAAAAAAAGACCCTCAAATATGAAACTACAGCCCCCTACCAGGCCAAGAAACCAAGCACAAGCTCAAACACATAAAATCATAAACACAAATATTTCAGCTATAACCCCCATGAAAAGTAAAAAAACTCCTACATGTTTCATCCAGTGTTTTAAAAGGTGCAGCAGGCATTAGTAGAGGCATGAAAATTTCTGATTCAAGACGCTATTTCGTTTGGGCTCACTCTGAATTTGTACAGTTTCTCATTGTATGAGGCCTATGAGCTTTTTGTTGGCCTGCAGGGCTTTTTCTGTTTTGATAGTGGAATGTCTCATGTTACTCATCCACATTTGAAAACAATTGTCCCATCCTAGAGCCATCAAATACAAGATGTCATTCCCAACATCCTCATCTTCAACAGATCTTAAGTCCAGGATCTCTTATTCCTCCTTTTCTTTCTTGGACTCCTGAAATACCATGGGCTATAATTCAACCCTAATAAGAAGGACCCTAGTTCCTTCCTTAGATGATCATCCCTTAGACCTATCTCTTGCCCACACTTTTCTACCTAACACACCTAGCTCACTCACCCCTCACCCCAACTCCCCACTAGCACACCCTCCATTTCTACATCAGAAAAACAACAACAACAGAAACAGGAGCAGGTCAACCATCAGTTTTGCCCAAACAATTCATCGTACTTCCTGCCAATCAAGTTGCTCCCCTCCCCAAGTGGACTGGTATTAAACCGGTATATTCACACCTTTAGAACTCCCATACCTTATGGAGAAATACAAAATGTTTTTGAAACACATCATTCCCTCTTGCTTCCAATATCTCACTGTCATGCACCAAATGCCCTCTACCCAGCTCCTATCATCCACCCTCCTTGAACCAAGTGGAGGCACTGCCCTGCAATATAACTAGAGTCCCTCATCAGGGATGGGGGAGACTTAAGAACAGTGCACCGTTTGAGATCAAGTAGCCAGATAATATGAACCAACTACCACAAGAGGTAATGAGTCCAAGAACATCTATGGAAAGGGTTCAGAACCAACATTGCTACAACATGAAAAGGCATCCACAAATGCTTTTACCTTCATCCTCAGACAATGATCCCCTACCTCTGATAGTCTAGTTAATTGACTTGCACATAGTCAAGCAAATTGCATTACTTCATAAAGCTCCTTCAGTCCCAAGATTCCCGATTATCATTATGAGAGGACTAGGCCATTGCATTTTGGAAGGATAAAATGTAGACAATCAAATTTATTCGGATTTTAAGTTCTCTATCAAAACCAGATATTTTCCAGACCTGCAGCGCCTGCTAGACATCATTGGAAAGAAGGTTCTGATCTACTTACTACCAGAAGCCTAGTATTGTGCTACTGTATGTGATACAATAAATGAAACCTCAGAATTCTGTTGCATGGTAGATATTTGATTTTACTTTCTTTGTACTTATTGCTACTTCCTCTGATTCAAATGGACTCAATAGGAGCATGTCAGGTGCTCAAATTCCCATCGCCTAGCTACCGGCCTGCCGCTAATCCCCCCACCAGGCACCCAAAAAAAACTAATTTTAAGAAGATCCTGCAAGTAGAACAGGTTCAATCTGGGCTCGGTTAGCAATGAAACCTCTCCTTGCAACAAAATGTTCAACTACATTAAGCCTCTAGAAACCGTTAGCAACCATGAGAAATTCCTACTTTCTGTTATTGAACTCTGGCATAGTAACCGGAGTAAAACTACTTCTCTTAATCAATAATATATTATGCAGTTCTTCTTCCCTATTTCCGATATTGGGCAGTGGCTCAACCTCTTATTCCCTTTTTCTCCAATCTCCGTCTGGACTATGATATAGGATAATAACGCCGGTAAAAGGTATCTATCTCATGTTGTGAACCACGAACTTTAACCTCCAAAATTTGATAAGCAATACCCATTAATGATCTCATATCAGCGATCAGAAAAATAAAAATAATTACACAGTGGGCATAATCAGATACGGATGGTTAGATAAATGTGAAACAGGCGACAAGACAATTTTCAAAATTAAAGAGATGGTTGTGGAGAGAAAGAGAGATGATCACTTTGGCTTCGTAGATTCGGGGGCCGTGGTAAGCAAGGACCTTCTCTCCTTCCGAGAAAAGGCTGGAATCTGAAGCAGAAGGGTCCCCGTTGGTGTCGCCGCCGTCGGTGGCTGTATCGTCCTTGGCCCCTGCATTCGGACTTCCCATCTGTGTACGTGTGTGTGATAGGCGTTAGGCGACCAGCGACCCTCGCGCTCCTATTACTGTCGGTGTTTCCGATTGCCGTTCTTCCCGGTTGTTATTCTACTTTCAAACAACAATAGAAAACAAGATGAAATTTTGTGTTGCCGCCTTGCGCCTAGTGCACGGAAACCCCAGTCCAACCGAATGTGAATTTTCTTTTTCCCCTTTGGGAGGTGGAATGGAACCGTGGAACGGTGAAATAGCCCGCGGTGAATGGTACGAACGCAACTCGGACGGGTTGGTTCGAGTCGTTCGAGTTGATGATCAACCCATGCCTAACCATAAAGATGCATCAGGGGTGCAAATCCGGCTGGTTGGTCCGGATTTATACTCAACCCAAGCCCAGCCCTAAGATTTCTTAAGGCCCGGGACCGAAGTCAAGTTCGACCTTTCCGATCCAAGCCAAGGTGGTTTTGGAACTATGTCGGGCTTGGGTTGGTCAATGAACGCATTCTATCTATTTAAATCTCTCTCTATGAATGTGTATGGCTAGAACTTGGACCGAGTTTGAACTACCTAGGCCCAAGCCCAGCCCAAAATAAATAAAAATATTGAAGTCTTTGACTCAAGTCCAGCCCAATGACCAAAATCCAAACCCAACCTGTGTATAAAGTTTTGGAATGGGTCAGTCTGGACTCGCCCTAGGGGTGAGCATTCTGTTTTTTCGATTCAAAATCGAATCAAAAAAACCGATCTAGTGAAATGAAAAACTGAAACCAAAATGTATTAACACCGATTAAACTGAACCAAAAATTTTTCCAGTTATTTCGGATATTTCAGTTAAAAACGAAATAATGGACATGAGCATGAAGCACTTATGTGCTATGTGAAACTGATAGAGTTATCAAAACTCAAAATCACTTAAAAGTTAAAACCAAAATTGTCACTGTAACATTATTAAAAGCTCCACCACTTCTATCCTCTGATTTCTAAACACAAATAAAAGTCCCTTTCAAAGAAATTTTGCAATTAAAAGTTAAAATTGATGGACTCTGCTGAGATACTCTGACCTATACTAATATTGCAAATCATTTAAAAGAAAATACTGAGTTCTAGCCTACTAGGTTCTATACAAAAAAAAGAGAAGAAGAAGAAGAAGAATAAATTTTATTTACCTGTAACCGAATATGAACACAACAATAAATCTTGAAAGTGATGTATGGACTCTGGAGTCTAGGCTGAAGTCTGAAATCGATGGGAGTGAGTTGAGTGATGAACTAACAATTGGACTAACAGTCTAGCACTACCACACTGGGCACTAGGCACTTAGAGTCTTGGACAATAGGATTAAAGTCTGGATTCACTCTGGACTGAAGTTGTCAACTCGTTGCTGACTCGCTGCCCCTCTCTATGTCTCTTTGGAGTCTCTGAAATCCTAAGTCTCAAAGGCCAAAGGTAAACTCAGAAATCAAAAGTTACAAAGTTCATAACAGTAAAACTAAAAGGAAGAAGTGAAGAAGAATAAGAACTACTGTTTTGTTGATCGGTTTCTACGAAAAGGAATGGAGGGTTGCGGGCTGGGGCGACTGCCTATTCGCATTCCCTCTTTTATTGGATTTATTTAATTGTTTAATAAATTTGGGCCTTTGGAAAACATTAGATGCAACAAGGACCACAATTGTATTGTGTCACATCGAACGACCCAATGCTTTAGAATTTCAAAACTAAATCGGTTTTTTCGGTTAACCAGTCTGTCAATCATGAAAACCAAAACAAAAAACCAGTTTATGTATTAACCAAATTCCAAAATCGAAATTGACTGAAACACCGATTAAACCAAACCAATTAAACCAAAACCAAAATTTCAGTTCGATTTTTCGGCTTTAACCGAATTGTGCTCACCCCTAGCTCGCCCAAATTGCACCCCTAAGATGTAACACTGTTAGACCCAACCAAAGGATTAAGCTCAAAATTATCAATCTAGCACCAAACTAAGCTTAACCTAACACAATTCAAGCTGCACTCAAGCTTGGGTTAATCAAAGTAGGCTTAATTGAGCTTGGGTAAGTTAGTTGGGTTTGAATAAATTTATGAATATACTTTTTGTATAGCCATTTAGAGGCTTTATGGCCCCATTTTGAGAACATATACATGTGGTACATACATACATATACATGTAATTCTAATTGAGCCTTGCGACATTTTTAATTGAGCCAAGTCAATCCAAGCCAGTTCAAGTAATATATTTTGAGTTATGTTTAGTTATTCTAATCACAACCCAAATTGGAAGCCCTACTAAGAGTGGCTAATCTTGTATAGGGATGTCAATGAGTCTAGTTAAATGATAAATTCAACTTGAAGTGGAAAAAATAAAAGGTACATTAAACTTGACTCACGCCTACATAGTCAGGTCATGGGTCGGACTTATTAGGTTGTAGGGTCAAGTTAGAGTTTTGGTTATTTAACCCAACTCGATGCAAGTTTGGCTAACACAGCCTATCGAGTTCTAATACCCCTACACATATAGGCCTCATTCGTGTCTGAGTGAATGACTGAATCGTGTAAATGCACTTATCCGAGCAAGTGTTTTTAGCACTTACAAGTGTTATTTTATTCTTAATGTAAAAAGTCTATAGTGACTAGTTTATAAAAAAGTGACATTATTAAAGAGACAATATTGTCCCATCACGCATTAGTGATTTTTGGCATACATAGTAATTAATTTACCCATTTGTTTTTTCTGCATAAGCCACTAATACTAGGAAATGAACGTGCTTTTTTTTATGTGAGGTTTACCAATTCACCACCCCTACTTCCCACAAAAATGAACAAAGCCATAGGGGTATTCTTGTAATTTAATTTTACTTCCAATCCCTAACATTAAAGTTTCCCAATCCCTATCCCGCCCCTGATTGGGTATCATTATTAATCTCCATCCCCGCCAAGGCAGCCTCCATACCCAATCTATTGGGTTAGAGAAGTAGAATACCTAGCAGAGATGGAGGAAATTGCCATGCCTAACAAAAGAGCTTTGATTAATCAATACCCCCTTGAATTCCATTGAATATATATCACATGCGTTTTGCCGGTTTTGAATTTTGAGTTCCTTAAGCTTTCTACTTATTGCTTGTAATATGAGCATTTTCAATGAAGGTTTGCCATTTGGCCTAAAAAAATAATATATACCATATGCTTAATTACCACTATTATGAGTTGATTGTTTGGTTATATATATATATATATATATATATATACTATCATGTCATTTAGATATCAATATATAATAGCCAAATCCATAAAAAGAAAAGATACATATTATATTACCATTAAACATGTGAATGGGAGTGTGGAAATTTTTATTTGACAAAAATACCATTTTGTTTAACTTTGTCCATCTTTAATTGTAAGGGCAGAAATGTAATTTGAACAATCACTTTTCTCATTCAAATTATTTTCGTTACGTCTTATATTTAAGGTATTAACTCCCATTAATATTTATTGAATCATATTCTTAACTAGAATACCCCTATTTTTGAATCAGGTTCATATGTGAGGTCACAAAATGTAATTCAAACTACTAATTTTCTCATTATTCAATCTATTATCGTTAAGACTTATATTTGGGGTATTAATTCCAATTCTTTCATTGAATCCTATATACCATTTTAAAGAAAATTTAAGTGTGACAAAGAATAATTATTTTTACTGACAATAGAAATAAAATGCAAATTTAAAACAATCAAAAATTGGAGATGTTTTCTTGTTTAGTGGTGAGTCAATAAAATGTTTCAACCGTTGATGCCATAGTTAAATAATAAAAATACACAAAATGTATACAACAATTAAAAAAAAACTTATAGAAAAAATTTTAGCACCTCTTTAATATCATATATTAACCATATTAAACAAAAAAAAGTGTGACAAATAATAATGATTTTTATAGAAATAAAAATATAAAAAATTATAAAAAGTTTTGAAAAACATATTATTTACTATCATTATTAGGGATGCAACCCAGATAGGTACAACTTGAGCTCAACCCCACCCAACTTGAGCTTTTTTTCATGGGTTGTGGCTGAGTTTTCAAGTTACAAGTTGGGTATTGGCTAGAAAACTTGGGTTGGGCTTGGTTGAGGCATTGGATAACCTAAGCCTGACCAAAACCTAACCCAACCCAAGCCTACTCAAAAAAATATGCATATGTGTATTATGTTTATATAATAGATATTTTCTCTAATTATGTATCATGCATGTATATGTATAAACTATGTAAATGAAATTTGTACACATTTTCAATTATTTATTCTCTTAAATTAGGTCATGAAGCTCATTAAAAAGACAAATACATAAAATGATTAAATTATTTCAAACCCAATCAACCCACCCAAAGTCCAACTAACCTGACCCAACCAACCGGAGCCCAAGCTGAGTTGTGTTGGGCATGAGTTGACATTCACCCTGACCCAACCCGAACAAGTTGCATGGTTGCACCCCTAATCATCCTCATAATCATAAAAAATTTCCACATTTAAACTTACTAGCATATAAAATGGTTCAATTATCACATTTGAAAGGCATGGTGTCTCAAAAGAGGTCGCATTCTGTGCACCCGTGGGTGCACTGGACGAGTGCACCGGTTGAACCGCCCATAAAGGACAAAAAATATGTAAAGAATTTATTTCAAAGGGATTTCATTCGAACTCCCTCAGTCCCTCCTCCCATTTTCTCCAGTTCTCTGGTTCTCCCAGTCCTACAAATTTGAATGTATATTCCTGACGAAGAAGAAGAAGAAGAGAATAGGAGGCTATAAAACATTTTGCCGTCGATGCCCGCCGGTGTGTGGATAGGGTTCAGTGCAGGAAAGCAGCAAAAACTCTGCAAAATAGATGGAGAATGAGGAGGAATGTGTGGCCTGCGTGTTAGTCATGCTTTCTCTTTATTCTTCTTCCGAGAACCATTACTCCTCACGCCGGCAGTCATTAGTGGTCAAAACAAAGCTAATCTCACCAAGCCCTAAACCCTGTTTCGGTAAATCAAACACCCCTATTACCATATCCTTTTAAAACACGCCGGCAGTCCTTTTGTCCTCCATTTCTCTCTCCCATAGCTTTTATTGAAACCCTAAATACACCAAAACCCCATTATCTATCTTAAACCAAATGGAAGCATTGTTGAAAAATTTTGTCGGTAGACCCTTTTTTTTTCTTTCTAAAATAATGTATTCTCTGAATGTCACAGTGAGGTAGGGG